AAAAGCATCACAAGTGCTATCACCAATCATTGCAACACTCTTTAACAAATCCATTGAATCCTCCACCTTCCCTACAGTTCTCAAAATAGCAAGGGTCACCCCGATCCATAAAGGAGGTGACCAGACAGAGTTGAATAACTATAGGCCAATATCCAATTTACACCCTCTCTCAAAAATCTTCGAAAAATTAATTCATAAACGAATCTACTCCTACCTCATCTAACATAACATTCTCAACCCCTGCCAATTTGGATTCAGGCCTAATAAAAATACTAATGATGCTATTATACACATGCTAGAACATATATACACTGCAATAGAGAAAAAAGAAGTCCCTCTGGGGATCTTCATTGACTTACGTAAAGCTTTTGATACAGTTGACCATGACTTGCTCCACGTAAAATTGTCACACTATGGTATTAGAGGGCACTCCCTCAACTACCTCAAGTCTTACCTCGGCAACAGAAGCCAATATGTGTACGCAAATGGGGCAAGCTCTTCCGAACAACCAATTACAGTTGGTGTCCCACAGGGAAGTGTCCTTGGCCCTCTTCTCTTTCTCCTATACATAAATGACCTACCAAATGCTTCGCAATTACTCAAACCCACACTTTTTGCAGATGACACTACATACGTCTTCTCTCACCCGAGCCCAGTCAGCTAGCCAATACTGTAAAACCGAATTACAGAAAATATCTACCTGGATGAGGACTAACAAACTTACACTAAACATTGACAAAACCTACTTCATTCAGTTTGGTAGCAGAGCTACAGATGTACCTCTTAACATAACGATAAACGGATCACCTATCGCAAAGCTAACAGAGGGAAAATTCTTAGGAATCCACCTCGATAATAGACTCAAATTTCATACACATATACAACAAATTTCTAAGAAAATTTCCAAGACTGTAGGCATACTATCGAAGATACGGTACTGTGTTCCACAGTCAGCCCTCCTGGCCCTCTATCACTCTTATTTACCCCTATCTTACCTATGGAATTTGTGCATGGGGCTCAACAACAACTAACCATCTCAGACCACTAATTACCCAACAAAAGGCTGCAGTTAGAATGATAAATTCTCAATACAGGCAGCACACTCCACCAATATTCAAAACACTCAACCTACTCACCATACAAAACATCCATACTTATTATTGCACTTATTACATACATAGAACACTTAACTCTGATATTAACCCTCCCCTCAAACATCTCCTTGCCAACCTCAACAGAACACATGACCATAACACAAGGCACAGATCACTCTTTGATGTTCCTCGTGTCCATCTCACGCTATGCAAAAACTCAATGCACATAAAAGGCCCTAAAATCTGGAATTCATTACCTGTAAATATAAAAGAAACACTACCTGTTTATAAATTCAAGTCTCTTCTCAAAGTTCACTTACTCACTCAAAACCCAAAAAAATACTGAATAACTGAACCATATAAATTGTTTTATCCTAAATGTTACTCACAATTATATCACACAAATGTTAAACCTAACTTTGTTATTTTTTTTAAATACACTACCTAACAGAATACTCCATTCTACTGAATGAACAGCAATGCATGCAACCATATGACCTGTCTTTGTAATACTCATTTGTATTTTATAGTTATCTGTTTACAATAATGTCTTATCACTGATTTCATCATTGCTTAGTTAATCTTAAGTTAATTGTAAGCCAGCCCGTAATGCTATGCATATAAGTGGCTTTGGCATGCTGCTCTTACCTGTATTTTTTTGTACCTCTGTATGTATGCTAAATTTCTAAATAAATAAATGTCAGCTAGGCCTGTATACCTTGTACATGTATACTTGTAGAAATAAAGATATATTATTATTGGTTGCCAGTCATTGTCTGCAGTCAACCTCCAGTAATACTTTGATCATCAGAGGCCTGCTTGATGGCCATCCAGTGTTTCATCAGAGGGTCACCTAACTTTCCTAAGGTCCAGTTTCCATCAGGAGTGACCCAGCCACCACTGCACCACCAATGGAATCTACTTTGGAATATAGACAATAGTGATCTTTTTTTTTTCTTCTGGCAGGATTTTGCAAACAAGATTAAGAGCAGGGAAGAAAAGATCCATTCCTCAGATCAAGAACCCCCTTTAAAAACAAGCCTGTACAGGGATTATGCAAGTTGGTAATTCAGTTAGATTCCAATTCCTTTGCTCAAGAGTTCACCACTATCAAGACTTCCTCTTCCCTGAAGAATATTATCCCCTCAAGGAAGGTTCCTTGATGTTGGTGAGGGGCTCTTGATTTAGGGAATTGGATCTGTGCTCCAGTTCCCCGAATTAAGCCTGAATGCCTTCCACATCCCCCCCAGGCGCTGTATAATCCTCCGGGTTTAGCCCCTTCCCTTGGGAAAATTATTATAATAATAATAATAATGAAGAATATTATTCTTAACGTACTTTTTAGGCTAATAAAAATCCATTATTGCATGGATTACTTTATTAATTTTACATAAATACATGCAAAGCTGCTATGGTCACTAATCTCTATTTGCACATAGATACTATTATGGAGTTTACTGAATTATTTATGCTGATTTTTGCATACTGTATATTTGCAGTTCAGAAAATTATATCTAGCTCTATAATGAATATCAGAAATCTCACCTCACATTTGTATTTAGTGTGGACTCATCGAGGCCTACTGAGAGTGGTTAAGGATGCATTTTGATAATGCTCCTAACTATACAGTGTATGCCATCATGTCAAGACCTATGAATAAATGTTTTAAATAAAATGTCTGTTTCACTCTAGGCGAGTCTGAGAAATATCCTTAATTAATACTAGGTCACAATAATATATATATATATATAGTTCATGTTAAACTAAATGCTACAAAAAATTAAACATTCTGAGCACCATTAAGTGCACTGCAGTATACATACTCTCATATTGCAACAAATTACTCACTAGAAATACAGGATAAATAATCTGTGTATTGCACTTGGATATAAAAATCCCATCAAAAAAAAAAAAAGAATGGCCTAGTGAGGAAGTCTTATAAATTCTGCTACAACACTGTATGACCCTTGTGGGTTTAGTGCTTAGTTATGATTATAATAAATTCTGCTCCACATATTCAGAAATCTTTAGCAGCAGCTACTTCATACTATTTGTGATTTCTAGGTGGGCACTGTTAGCATGAAATACCATCACTACTGGTGGTCACTGCTAGCTCTACACACCACCAGTAGTGGTGGGCATCACTGAATGACAGTTATTGCCTATTTTATTAATATCACTGAATATGATAATTGGTCATACATTAAAGGCCAACGCTTAAATAATAGGGTATTTCTAGTGCCACAATGAATGACAACTATTTGGCATTATCCAGCCTAGGGTGTGTGGGGCTGGCCTTTAAAAATGCAACATGGACTATACAGGGAGAAAGATCAACTAGGCTGTTCTTATACCAACCACTTCATACAACACAGCTTAATTAAATAAAATGTAGTCTTTATAAAATCTACATTAAAAGCTAAATATTCATAGAAACAGAAAAAAAAAAAATCTTGAGTGAGTCAGTTGAGACAATCTGTGCCTATGCTAGTATCTTGCAACCTTTTAATATTTTTCATTACATCAACATTATTTATAAAGCTCTGAAAGACAGGACAGAATATCTCAACCAACTTTTTGAGCAGACATAACTAAGATATCTCCATCATATATACACACGGGCAGAAAATGGAACTGGAGACAAATTTCCTATCACACTAATGGAATGTGCACATGAAGTATGGAGTATAAAAAAAATGAAATGACCTTAAAAACTAAGTTATCGCTAGTGTAAAAAGCCATGGAAATCAGGTAAAGGATTATATTGGAATGCTGAAATTATTAGCACTACTTAAAAGAAAACTGAAGTAACTTTTTCACAAACTTTTACTGATACCATAAATATCTGTATTGCCACTCAAGGTAACTGATGGCCACTTCAAATTTCTTTTAATTTACAAACTACCAACAAAGGGAGAAGCAACAGCAAAATAAAAAAAAAAAAAAAAAAAAAAAAAAAAAAAAAAAAAAAAAAAACTGGGAAAATAACACATACCCTAGTTTGGTGTACCCAAAGCCGCAAAGAACCAAAGCCATAACTGCCTTAACCACCTTCCAAAAACAAAAAAAAAAGTATTACAGACTGGAGTGACAGAGTGGGACCCAAGGTGAGATACAGAGCAATCAATGATTGATTTACCAATAACCAGAAGTACCGTCCAATGAGCCCGATGGAAAATTATCTACAGAAAGAAAGACCCCTTGCATGGCTCCCCAACGACAGATTTTCAAAGTGGCACAAACATTTTGTAATGCCTCTTCCAGAGAGATCTCAAGATTTATTGTGACTGATTTTATATAGTAATGCCTGTTACATGAGCACCATAAAAATAGCAAGTTATGATTCAATAACATATTCCAGCACAATACAGCAATGACATTTTGCACACTGCAGTACTGCACTGAATAGCGTATACAACCATGCTCTCAATGTTAAATATATTTTACATCAAGAATTTATTAGCTTCCACCTGCCTTCTGTCGAGGACGAGCCAGGATATCCCTTTACACCCTGAAAGATGCCCAAGACAAACCAGTAATTCTCCCAAAATCATGGTGAACTTTAGCCACAAATTAATAATCAACTACAGAGCACCTGTCTCCCTGGCATTCCATAAGATGGCTCTTCACACTTTAAAATATCACAGATGATGGTCACGAGATAATGCAATGATTATACCAGCGATCATTATACATATAAAATTCTTATTCACTTGTTACACACACTTTATCTTTGGATACTGATGACTTATTAAACATAAGAAATAATTTAATTTCTCAATTTCTCACAAACTATTTTTTAACAAACTCATAACTGGTAATATGCGTACTTAATAGTTTTCAGCCACGTACACCACAGTAAAATCTAAAAATTAAATATAAAACATGAAACTGAATGCTAATCAGATCTATCCATAAGAATAGATAAAAAAAGTTATAGGTACCTGTATCTGAATGAAAATCACATGGTATACTAGTACAAAGAAAACATGAATTATACGTATATGTACCTCTGCAAATAATACACATTAATAAGTACTATAATGCGATGTGGAAAAAAACTAGGAAAAATCTGATAGTTCAAAGATGAACAACTAGATACAATTGCACCATGTTAAGATTTAATCTCTTTTTCACTGACATTTTGGTCTCCCTTCATATACAAGCGATGAAAGAAGATGCCTTCTCAAACATTTGTTACTGAACATCACACCTGCTAATGTCAAACCTGAAGCAATACTTGCTAGATATTGAATACAATGTCTCGCCCCAAATTCTAGATCCTATGCTCATGGCTGGTGAATGTTAATCATTGCTCATTATTATGGCTAGCAAACCAGAGGAATTTACTAAGGTGAATCTTTAATAATAATATCCTGAAATTAAATGCAGAAAGATACTGCTGTCTCATTTTATAAATTCTAATAAAACATTTCGTATTAGTACCACAACTGCTGCTCATTCTCAGTACAGTAATGATTCTTAAGACCAATTAAGTGGAAACCTTGATACTACTAGTGGAGGAGGCTTGATCCAAGGAATTGCAGTTACCCTCCCTTTCCTCAGATCAAGGTGTAATCCCCCACCCTTCCTATTCTAAAGGCACTACAGTATATGACCTGTATGGGTTGAGTGCTTTAATGAATATAATATAAAGTTTCTTTTCAAGACACTTTGAATGAGCAGCAGCAATATAAAGTAGATATATTTGTACATAAGCAAGTCTCCAAGTTTGAATGTAACCAGTATGAATATCTAAATAAACTTTTAGTGAATACGATAATAAAATGCAGCAACTAATAGATTTGAGGCTATGGCATTAATACCTCCTTTCAGATATAAATGAAGGCATTAGAATATAGGCTATTTTGAAGAGGTTAAATACTATACAGTATTTAGAAATGTGGTGCACGTGGCTGCCTGAGCATTAGGTTGAGAGTGGCTTGAGCACCATAGCGGCTCACTACTCACGCTGTCACGACTAGGGTACGAAGAACAAGAAACTGATAAACTGCAGCACGCAAAATGCAGCCCTGTACTTTGAAAGTATGGGCCACTTAATAGCTATACTGTAATAATAAACTACAAAATTTGAAAAAACATTTAACAAGTTAAAGTCCCCATAATGTTATGAAGGACTAACTTAACAACTCACATTACAGTTACTAACAGGACTTCACTGTGTTGTGTGGAGCACCCTGTCTACATGTAGACACTTCTACCTTATGAAGAATTACAGAATAATCAATAGAAATGTAAAATAATAATAAATAACAACTAAAAATTATAACAAATGTTAGAAGTGTACTGTAGTACATGAAAATAAACTATATTAGCAGCCATTAGACCCTGATTTACGACAAGGGTAAATGGTTGGTTTTTACTATTGATAGCTGCTGCATAATACAGAGATAAAAGGAAAAATGTTGAAACACACTAATTATGAAACGGAAAAACTTTCTTGGTGGATATTGTGGCAAGAGCAGTTATTACCATACTTTCTGAAAAATGGGAATTCAAGACTTAGTTTTTATCTCTGCCCAGCAAGCCAAAGGATAGTCCTATGGAACTTCCACTACGTTTGTATTTGCCACTTGACAAAAAATGGTAACTTTAAAATGAAAGCACCCAACAGGTAACACTATATACAGTCTGCCAGTATGATTTGTGGGGTTATCAGTGTATCAGGTTGGGCAACAAGGGTGGGCGAGCATTACCACTGGAAAAACGGGAGAGATCAGTAACTGCAAAGCTATAACCTATTCCATTTTCATTGCAACTTACTTTATATGACTTGAAATAGTCGGTTGTAAATTGGACTGTCTGCCTGCTTTACATTCTATGCAAAAGATACAAACTTGACAAAATTAGAGGAAAAAATTCTCACAAGCTTTTCATATGATAATGAGTAAAGGCATATCAAAATTGATAATTTTTTGATTAATTATTCATTGCTCAAGATGTTATAAACCTTACAGTAACAAAATCAGTGGCAAATCCTCCCCCCACCCTTGTGACAGGAACACTGCTTCTTCCCAATACACCTTCACTATATTATTTAACCTGTCAACTCGGGACTTGGTACCACCAAGATAACTTGAAACAGTCACATCTGCTATCCATGACGGTTACCTGTACCTCAACACAGCAGATTACACACATTTTGTACATATCTTTGCTCTTACTGATTGAAATATAACCATAGTGAAGTTTGGTTCGTTGCAGGATATCTTAAAATTGAGGGGCTACAGCATCACACTGTAGTATTGACAGTGGCGAGAGGCTACAACATTACACTGTAATATTGACGGCGGTTTGTAGTAAGCAATGCTCAATATAACCTACAACTTCAATAAGGCACTTGGAATGCACATTGAGTAACAAAGAAGTAAAAATTAAGGTAGAAAACTTAAAATCTATAAGGATAATAGCATTTGCATTTATGCTACATTATTTACTGTCAACTCATATCATGAGCACCTGTGTAGGTGAGTTTACATAAAATTGACTTAAAAAATGTACTGGAAGACTTTGTGATACTTGTTGTCACATGAGTTGCAGCCATCAGGCTTTTGCAACAAGCTCCTTAATCTAAGGAAAATGAATTACACAACCTAGAGAAAAAGCAAAAAAAAATTTGTTTCAAAAGTTCATATCAATTATAAACTTTCTAAATTAATAAATCATTAGGCAAAATTATAACACTGAAGAGGATTTTCTGATAACTGGCAGTATGTATGGAGGCCTATTTATTCTTGTGCATTATAATTTCCTGCGAGGATTAAGGACCATAAGGGGTGGTTGGTATTCCGATACATCACACATTTTCAATTGCTCTTCTATTTGGTATTAAATTTCTTTTAAATATATACATTAATACATGTTTTAACTCCTCTATGTAGAGTCATTCACTCTTAAACAGTCTTGGTGAACCTCATTACGGTACTTTTATATTAAGACCTCAGTTGTAATAAAATTGATAAAATTCATTATTTTTTTAATGTTTAATGATGCTTTTGGTCATTGGATCAAACTGTTTTATATTCTTGAATGATATACAGTAAATTATAGAACTGATACATTACCAGTAAGTCTTCCTCACACAGGAAGAACAGCAAATGTAACTTTTCCTTTAAAATAGTTTTGGTCACACTGAACACATGATAATCTTGAATCATTTCAGAGATGCTGAGGTTCAAGCAAAATGTTCAAAGGGCAACTTCAATGAATGACATTCCAGCGTTTCACATAGTGGCCACTGCCTCGCCGTTGTGCCGCGATGTGTCACCACTTGCTTGAATGGGCAAACACTCTGGTGCTATCTGTCATAAAAAATAAAATCAGTCACATTTTTGGAGCATGCTAATTTCTGATGTAACAACTTCATTGATAATATACACATATGATCAATTCAAACTGTAAAATAATGTAACTAGCTTTTTTTTATTATTTTGCTTCATAATTGCTGCATTAGTTAGCCAAGGATATGCACATTTTTATTAGTGTTAAAAATACAAATATTTAATACAGTTTCTTAAAACTGCAACAGAATATCTTTAATTAAGCTTGCCTAAATTTTTTAAGTGCCTATAAAATTCCTCAAATTTTTAAACATGAAATGCAGTGTGTCATTTCTGAAGCACCTATTTTCCAAAGAAAAGACAGGTTAATAACAACCTTTTATTGTGACATGTTATGTACCCATGTCTTTTCTTCAGTATTGTCAGCAGAATATTTTATGTCCATTATTTTGTACTTCAAAATGGTAGGTGCAAAAACATACCACTTTAATTTGTATAATACAATATTATCAAGGCACAATAATATCAGCTGTACAGCATTACTGTGCCATGCTAGTTATACTCGTGAATTATTTTAGATTTTTTTTTATTCTTTATCATTCAGAAATTTGTCTTATGCCTCTAAGACAAAATTCTGTCCCCCTCCTTATGTATGCTTTACACAAAACTGCACACAATGCAAATGTAATTTTATACATCAATGGCCTTCTGCAACTGATACATCTTGAACCTAACAAAAAAGCATAATGGCAGTATTTATAAAAAAATCTTTATACTACTGTATTTTCTAAGCCAGTTTTGTAAATGCAAGTGCAAAGCATTAATAACAATGATGCATAAGTTTGCATATCACATTTTTATTCTTTTAACCGCTTACAGTAACACTCATTACTCGTTGTTGCCCTTAATGTCAGTTATATTTCAGAAATTCTATTATAGTCAAAGCTTCTGGAGAGAAAAACATTGCCACAATAAAATTCTATTTGTTAAAATTCCATTCTTGGTCTATTTTGTTTTGTCTGATTATATTTTCTGCATGTGTGTCTTTCACAGGAAAAGTTATGCAACATACTGTCAGTGTGTAAAGTTTTCATCTGAGTGGGCAATCCAGTCTTTGTGGCCAAATTCTATATAAAATTTGATGGAAGCCCTTGGCATGAGAGTATGTGGGTGGCTGCATTCTTTCAGACTGCAATATATTCCAGTCTTTTCTAATAGTTTTATAAATAACCAAGAAAAACATTCTTACCTGTAATGACCCTTACATTATTTAAACTTTACTAACAAGGGAATGTCACTACTGTGTATCTTTACATCTCTAGTATCTACAGCCAGAAATCTACCTGTCCTCCTAATGCTAACATTGCTTTTTTATATATGCTTGAGCAAATTTTTAAGTACTCTAATTAGGTTATGTTAATGTTGAACTAAATTGAAGCAGTTGAAACAAACACTAGTAAATGCATAAAGGCAAGACTGTTTTGATGTACCAACAAAAAATGGCTCCCTATTATAACAAGAATCTGACAGTGCTTCCAGCAGTCTTATTAAGCCTCAATAAAATATTGATGTTTACTAAGGAAGACTTTTTCAGTTAAGAGTTGCACACTATCCAACTTCCTTTCTTTTACCCTGCAAAGCCATTCATCTCTTCAAAATAAAGATTAAGGAGGAGTTATCCCATAAAGGCTCAATTATAAATGCTCAACATTTTTTTGAGTATGAGGTGTTAAGGAAAAGTACATATTGCTATTTCTCTTTTTTTTTTTTTTTTTTTTTTTTTTTTAATATCCTAAATCTATTCTATTGTACAATGACTTTCAAATTTAACTAGATAAATAATTGGCAGCCAGAGCATTAAACACACAATGCCTAAACAAAAGTTTAGGCATTGTGTGTAATGCTGGGTACAAAGCCTGTCTCTAAACATTTATTACAATTTTGTTATGAAATACAAAACCGAGATATGAAATATAGAAATAAAAAGTAAAAATAAAAGATATCTGACTACCATATTAGCATTAATAAGGTAAAATCCTATAAAAGTTAATTTTTTAGCAGTAATCTAAAATATATGTGATAATACGCCATGCAACCTAGATGATTTGAGGATAAGCAGAAGAAAAAACAAGGGGGAATTAAAAAAGTAAATGAAACAATGCTGGCAGAAAAGGGTAATATTTTCAATCATTAATTACAATACACCGATACAGATAAGAAGAAAGTCAATAATTCAAACTGCTATAAGCACAAAGTGACTGTGCTATTATGTATGAGCAAGTTAGCTTTATAGCTTCATTATGTACCCCATACCCAACAATGTGGGTGGGCATTAAAAGAGTGGAGAGGCACGTAATGGGTCCAGCGAATATGCCCCAAAATTCTGTTAGTTAAGCAACAGATAACAGACAAGTTAAAAGCATGAATACGTGAAAAACACTGATGACATGCATGCAGGTGGGCAGAAAAGATTGTGGGGGTTAAAGAAAAAAAAGGGTGACTAGAAGGCAAAAAATCTGGATACAGTAGTTTAAATTAATAAAGACAGGAAGGCAGAAAAGTAAACAAGGGTTGTGTTGAAGGAATTGCAGCACTGTATGATCCTAGTAGGTTTAGCGCTTCTTTTTAATTATAATAATAATAATGTACTGAAGGAAGAGACTGCCCAAAAATATGGGCAGACTGGCAGAGTAATTGAAAAATAGAAAAGCAGCATTCCTCCTGGTCAGGAATAAGTACTGAAACATCTTTAAAATTACAAGAATACAAGCTCCACATGAGAGGAGTTGTAAAGGTAATGACAAGTTCTACAACAAGGCATACCGAGACAGCACATACGTTTTGAAGAGAATGGCTCACTGAATAAGGCAGATGCTCTTCGAGGCCATATACAGTAAAACTTCAAAAATCCTTTAACTTGAGTGAAGAATATTAAAAGATTATATATTATCAAAGTCCTAGTGCAACTACAGTACGTATTGACAAATAAAGCAAACTATTACTAAATATGGGTCATCCATGTGCTGTACTTTAATAATCTTACTAATACTGTATTGTAGTAGTAGTTTTTGTGTACATTTACATAAACTTAGCTTTCCTTTCCAAAAAGCACAGATTTCTAGTTTCTAGAATACGTTTTCACTGTTCGTAGTGATAACATTAATAACAGGCATATTATTACTTTTATACATTTTTAACTAAATATGAGAGAGTCAACAGTAAGGGTGAACCCCAATTTGAAATTTGGCAAGAAATGCCTTAAAACATTACTTGTACAAGTAATAGTAGTAAAAAAAACTTTTTTTCTATTTTTGACTATTTATTATTTGTCAAAACTGTATATAAGTGCTATATTGTTTTGAGACATTTTTTGTCAGTTAAGATGTTGAGCCTGCCTCTTAGGTCACTACTGTGTGGTAATTATGCGTTTTGAAAAATGGGTGGAAACCTAACCCCTGTAGGTATTCAGATGCTTAACCACTTAATAGGTCATCACTTGAACAAAGCCCATCTCGGAAGTAACTTCCAGGTTTCCTGAGAAGTAAAACACCATCACCACCTTACTATCAGCAATGCCATATATGGTAACTGAACTTGTTAATCTCTGAAGATTGAGACACTTATGCAACGTATGGGAATCTTTATTCAGGAAACGTTTCGCCACACAGTGGCTTCATCAGTCCAATACAAAGTAGAAAGGCGTAAGGAGAGGAGGAGTTTGAGGTAATCAGTCCCTCAGCCTGGAGTCGATGTGTTCAGTCCATCAATCTTGTAGAATGTACAGCATAGGGCCGTAGACATGGCTTATGTACTGTAGTGAGGTGAGGTGAAGCAGGAGGAGGTAGGGTCATAGTGGTACCATCCACTAGTCGAAGTAGGTCTTCGTCCAAAGTTTCGACAAGTGTTGAAGAATTCTTTGTAACAAGATCCAACCTTTGGATGAAGACCTACTTCGACTAGTGGATGGTACCACTATGACCCTACCTCCTCCTGCTTCACCTCGCCTCACTACAGTATATAAGCCACGTCTACGGCCCTATGCTGTACATTCTACAAGATTGATGGACTGAACACATCGACTCCAGGCTGAGGGACTGATTACCTCAAACTCCTCCTCTCCTTACGCCTTTCTACTTTGTATTGGACTGATGAAGCCACTGTGTGGCGAAACGTTTCCTGAATAAAGATTCCCATATGTTGCACAAGTGTCTCGATCTTCAACTTATTGGTTTTTCAAACCATTCATCACAATTGTTGATCTCTACTGGAAGAGTTTAACAAAGGTACAGTATGCTTTAAGGACTGTTTTATACCCAAATTAGGAAGAGGGAAAAATTAGTGTACCCTTGTTCCTGTCTTGTTAGTGAAGCTGAGTCACACTATAAATATTATGAACCTTAATACCACTCTTTAATATATCCTTACCTTACCTATGGTATCTGTGCCTGGGGATCAACCACAGCCAACCACCCTAAACCTTTATAAACCACAAAAAGCTGCTGTCTGGATGATTACCAGCTCCTGTGCTAGACAGCACACCCCACCACTTTTCAAAAGCCTGAACTTGCTAAATATATGAGACATACACTCATATTGTGCCTACTACATATACAGAACATTAAATTCCACTATAAACCCTCCACTTAAACTACTCCTTGACAGTTACAACAGAATGTACAGTCACGATACAAGGCATAAGGCACTCTTCAACATCCCTCGTGTCAGTCTCACACTATGCAAAAACGCCATGCACATAGAGGGCCCGAAAATCTGGAACTTGCTACCAGAACCATTAAAGGATCCCTTGACTACTTATAAATTTAGGACTTTGCTAAAAAAAAACCATCTTGTCTCTCAATACTAACCAAATCAACCAAAACTACTGCTATTAGTTATATTATGTTACCTCTAGAATTTTAAACTTCTGCCAATCCATGAAATATTACTGCCTGAACCATTATTTGTAATATTGTTTTTATTATGTGCAACTTCAAGAGTATTATTCTTATAAACCTCCACCTTGACTACCTCACATCAGTATTAAGATTAAATAAAATTGTAATACAGTTAACCACTACTATCATGTCTAATTTTAAGTAGTTACTATGTATTAGGATTAGTCTGCCTGAAATGCCCCAGCATGATAGTGGCTTTATTTGTACTTAGCATCCAAAACTGTAATTACACATTGTAACCTTTACAAAGAAATAAACTTTTATCTTTATCTTTTAGGAAGGACTAAGACGAGCAATACGTATTTCAATTAACTATGGTATACAATAGTAAATAAATCTAAAGAAGCTCTAATAAACAAAGTATTATTATTCTATTCATAGAAAGTGCTTGATCAATAAGGTTCATTCGGTGCTACACATCCGAGGTAGAGAGACAGAGGGAGTGGTGGTGTTTAGGGAAAGGAGTTGACAAAGACGGGGAGAGTCAAATCATAAATACTGTATTATTTTAGGTAGTTAGGTAACTTTGTATTGCTCCTCTAATCTGAGGCATCTTACATATACAATACTGTTTATAACACTTATGAATCACAGGCTATGAACACATTCATACATGCCCAGAATATCCATGGAGGATTAAAACAAACACCAAACCAGTGTTCCTAAATAAATACAAGCACTCCATATTTAAGATGGAAATACCTTCATCAGCAAGGCCACACCACTTTATCTTTCCATGACAACTTGTGAGAGAGCGGCTTGAAGTGGGACACAGGGGTGGATCAATGATCAACACGTACATGATGTTCTTCCCTAATCCACATTAATGTGGAGACAAATTCTATTGCCAATCCTTACATTTATGGAGTGCTAAGTATTAATATATTTCCAGCTGGCATATCCACTAACATAATATATGTGAAATACATTGAGCCGAGATGCAGCAACATCACCAACTCTAATAAACACCTAGCTAGAACAATATTCTTGAGATGGTCAATTCTTCCCTGGAAACTAGTAATGTGTATCTTAAGGAAATGAATATAAACCCAGGATTGAATCTGGGTCCCTCTGTTGTAAGCCATTAAACTGTTTCATATTCATATGGTAGGCCTGTAGTACCCTCAACAACAATAAGGAGAGAACCCATCAAAATTGGAATTAACAGTCATAACCAGAAGACATTACATACCAAAAAAGAGGAAGACATGAGAGAGTAATGTATGGAGGAAAAGCAAACAAGAAAGCACAGAAAAAATGTTGAACATTAGGGAGGGAAATAAACATTACAGGATGGGCAGAAATGACTACTTAATGGGAAATGCAAAAATGCAATTTGAAAATTGCAGAGAAGGCTAAAAGTCTATTGCTAATATGAATCTTATCCCTGGCTGTGTTTCTATAGATTCTTGCCTTTTCCAGTAATTAAAAAGGCTCTCATCTTCAATGCACTTGTTAACTTGGCCTGACCTATGCTATCTCTTAACCTCTTTTCACTTCAAACAGTTTCTGTCTTTCATTTTCTAACTCGATAATGGTCCACAAACATTTACTGAAGTATCTGGCCAAGTTTAGGCTTTCACTGCATATCTGTGTTTTCAAAGAATTATATATTATATTGTAATTTAAGCTTGCACGAAATTCTCTGCATAACCATGGGCTTTCTGCATACACAGCTAAATGTCACCAATCTCTGTACAAACATTGTATCATACTGAAATAAATCTGACTGACTGACTAGTATATTCATGGTGAAGCACTAAACTTATTTGACATGTAGAACCTGGGGAATAGGAGGTAATAAGATTTGTTCTAAGGTAGGGGAGGCTACCTACAATTCCAATTATCTTCTCAGCATTAAGAGTTGCACGCATCATAGTCTTTGGGTTATTTGCTAACATAATTTTCCAATGTATTATCAATAATGACAGCAAGGGAAAGTAATTAAAGTCATTTTCATGCATACAGATCAACAGCAAGGGGAATGTAGTAATAAACAAGAGACTAAACATCACTGCAGTTTAAGCTCCTTTGGTGACTAAATCATGAACTCCAGGGATACCTGGTAGAAAATTAGGTGTCGGAAAAGTCCCAAAGTTGGATAAAACTATACTTTGTATGCATATATGCCTATATAAATACTTTTTATACTGGTCAATGTGCATGTATGTACAGTATATATATGTATGTATACTAATAAATAAATACAAACTGGGTGGTATAAGAAAATACTCAAACAGCTTCAAGGAGAAAACTGAAGATTTTCCCTGAAACCCTTTTTATTCTCTTCTAGCTTACGGGCCCTCATAAGAATACTGCACCAGTGGTGTAACCGAGTATATACACTGTATTTATGTAAGACTATTTTATTAGCTTAGGTTTTAGTAATTTTCAGATATGAATGAATTATTAGGAACAACTGAAGGGGTCAAAAACTGTTGAGATTTTACTGTATATAAAAAATAGATGCAATAGTGGAGGAGGATAAAGTATGCAGTATTTAGGTGAGAGTTGTGAGGAATATCAGTGAGCACAAAGTATAATGTATGGACAACTGAGGCTGTTTGTTCTGAGCAAGTGAGAAGTACATGGATGGGAGATGAACAGTGACCAAGCTGTCTGCAAGTTATGCATGAGCCATCCTGAGCAAAGCACCATATGGTATGAGCAAGAAGTCAAGGCAAATACAGTTGAAAAGAATTTTTTCAAACACGCAAAGTGATTACTGAGGAACAACATATTTGATATACAACATTGTATACACATACATGGGCCAGAGTATCAAGTGCAAGGAGCAGAATACTAAGGAGACTGGCTTGCATAAAATAACAGCATATTGGTCATGTGTCACTAAGAGTGACTTTTAGCATTACAAAATCTGTACATACTACTACTGTTTCCTGCTGCGTAGGGTGACAACCTCATCACCTGAAATCAAAATTGTACATATTTGTCCAAAGAGATCCAACTGCAATGTAGATTTTATGAATCTGGCAAAGATTAATTTAAAGTTTCACTGTTATAATGCACAGCAGTTTAACTGGTCAGCCTGTTAATGAATAGAACATCTAGCACCATATACAGAAATTTAATCAAGCTACAAGTTGGTAATTTACTGTGACATAGATGTTGATCATATAGCCTTTGAGGTGCTTTGCTAGCAATGGAACCTAGTTTTGCATTTGTGAATCTGATATATAGTGTCATCTTTCTTTCTTTCAACACACCGGCCGTATCCCACCGAGGCAGGGTGGCCCAAAAGGAAAAACGAAAGTTTCTCCTTTTACATTTAGTAATATATACAGGAGAAGAGGTTACTAGCCCCTTGATCCCGGTATTTTAGTCGCCTCTTACAACACGCATGGCTTACAGAGGAAGAATTCTGTTCCACTTCCCCATGGAGATAAGAGGAAATAAACAAGAATAAGAACTAGAAAGAAAATAGAAGAAAACCCAGAGGGGTGTGTATATATGTGCTTGCACATGTATGTGTAGTGTGACCTAAGTGTAAGTAGAATTAGCAAGACGTACCTGAAATCTTGCATGTTCATGAGACAGGAAAATGGACACCAGCAATCCTACCATCATGTACAACAATTACAGGCTTTCGTTTTACACTCACTTGGCAGGATGGTAATACCTCCCCTGGCGGTTGCTGTCTACCCACCTACTACCTAGTATAGTGTCATACAGATTACAAATACAGTGGACCCCCGCATAACGATCAGCTCCCAACGCGACCAATTATGTAAGTGTATTTTTGTAAATGCTTTTGTAGGTGTATTTTTGGGGGTCTGAAACGGACTAATCTACTTCACAATATCTCTTATGGGAACAAATTCAGTCTATAACGGCACCCAAACAGACTTCTGGATTGAAATAATATCGTTATGTGGGGTCCACTGTACAACTTTGTGTGTTTCAAACTCCAGTTTATGGGAGCATTTATTATACTTATACTGCATTTCCCCCCACTTTAAGTCTGACTAATAACCTTCAAATATTAAACACAATGCCAATACTACTAATGAACTAACATGCAGAAGTAACAGTCAGTCGCTAATTATTCCCACAAACAATGTACTCCTAGGATTTTGCCAAATTTCACGCTAATTGCCCTATTCACCCAATGTAATACACATTCTACTATCCCTCATTTAACCAACGTATATTTCTCTTATATAACATTTTTCAGTATTTTTTGTTCCTCATTCATATGAAATGCCATAAAGTAGGAAATTGATCGTAAGATGTATATATTCCAGGTCTCAGTTAGTGAGAGTTTGAAAAGTGCAAATTTCAATTTAGTGCAAAATTAATTAATGCTAGTCTTTTCCTCAAACTCCTCAAACCGTCCTCAAAAATTACATATAATTCAAATGGTGTGACATTGAATAATGCGACCATTTCAGGGGATTCATTATTCACATTAATCAAGACCAAACATTCACAAAAATTCAGATGTATGAGTGTAGAAGAACGGACCTAAAGGTTCACGACCACATATTAGAGTATAAATGTCTCTCGTTATTTGCAACATTCTGTTTTGCTAGTCCACGCCGTCTTTTGCCTTGGTGCACAACCTTATTTGGGGTTTCAGTATTAATGCATTTCTTGGACCTCCTGTGAATAGTGAAGGATAATTGCCAATAGAGAGAAGAGGAAAAAGGTAGAAAATAAAAACAATGGAAAAAATTAAGAATACGGAGTAAATTTCTTTTTGTTTAAAGGAAAGGCAGAGGTAAAGCAAAAACTGTAGCCTACTAACAGCTGGTGCTGCAGGGAATATAGCCAGACTATAGTACTGTACCACTGAAGGGAGTCAAGGTACTCCTTGATTCCTGCTGATGGTACTGTACTTTTTCTTACTACATTTCCTTGTTTAACATGTCTGCTATTTAGCCAAATGTAATATGCATAAGACTCAAAAAAATAAATGGATTTTTAATACAGTGCTCAGTGTTTAATTGTTAATTACACTGCTCAATGTTTAATCTTTAATTTCAAACATCGAAGACATTCTTCATCCCAGTATTAACAATTGAACAGCAAAAGATATTGTCTCATACTTCCTTTGGAAATTTTGCTTATACTATACATGTAGGTGATTGTTATTTAAATGCTGGCTTCAATTGCTAGTCATCCTGGGATGAATAAGGAGCTTATAACTAAGCAAAGTTCTCCCATTTTTGCCGGAAAAGGTTATAAAGTTGAAAATTGAACTGTAGTAGTCTGGGAATATGCAGAAACACCTCAGCAATTAACAAGCATTACTGCAACATTCTTCACCAAGGTGGTAAAATGTGAGTTTATTCCTTATTGTATAGACTGTCATTAAATGATCTTAGGTTAACTAAACTGTTTATCTACAGCTGACCTGTAATAAATGGCATTTTCCTATATACTGACCACTCGTAAAATTTATGCAAGTCATCATAAATTCCAATGCAGACAGACCCCACTTTACAGCGCTTCACTAATTAAATGGTTTTCAAATACGTATACCCATTCTTCATTTATTCAGACTTCCCACAATAAATCTATTCACCCCTCATTATAAGCTAAGGACAAAAATATTTTAAGGAAAACAATGTATTCTAGGTAGTAGGCTGGTAGACAAGCATGTACAAGCATATATATACATATATACCCCTCTGGGTTTTCTTCTATTTTCTTTCTAGTTCTTGTTTATTTCCTCTTATCTCCATGGGGAAGTGGAACAGAATTCTTCCTCTGTAAGCCATGCGTGTCATAAGAGGCGACTAAAATGCCGGGAGCAAGAGGCTAGTAACCCTTTCTCCTGTATATATTACTAAACGTAAAAGGAGAAACTTTCATTTTTCCTTTTGGGCCACCTCGCCTCGGTGGGATACGGCTGGTGTGTTGAAAGAAAGAAAGAAACAATGTGCGTGCTGTATATGCATTTTTAGGTCTAGCTCTATTGCTCACTTAATATGATAGTGTAAACATGTTATCTATCAGACTATGTATATGAAAGTGAAAAAAAGGCTATGTTTCACTTTACAGGGAGTTTCACCGTACTGCAGTTGCCTGGAACCTAACCTTTTTTATATAGTGTTTGAGAAGTGTTTCTCTTTCACCACTTTACAGTGAAGGTATATAGTACAGCTGTATATTAAATGGCCCTGACTAGTATGGATACTTGTGGCACTCCACTCATAATAAATCATTTAATTCTATTCCATTTATAATTAGTGTTTCTTGTTGTCAAGGCACTGTTTTATGCATTCCAGAACTTTATCAGTAATTTTATGATCTAGGATTTACCAGAGCCATCTATTGTGTGGCACCTTGTACATCTCTGAAAGGTCCATGTACAGCACATCAACTAAAGAAACTGGTCAACATAGTTGGCAACTATTTCAAGAAAAGCCTGTGTGTTAGGCAAGAGTTTTTCACTCTATACAACCATATTTTGATTAGAATTTGCATTCAAAGAAGGCCAATGGTTGTTTCCCTAAAAAAATTCTCTCAAGAGATATTGATAATATGCAAAGTTGAGATGGCCAGATGGTAGTTTTCTATGGCACTTCTACTTTATACCTTTAAGACAGGAGATGCTCTACTTCCTATCTTGAAGGTGATCTACTACTTCCTATCTTGAAGACAGATGAGTTTCTATTTACTATCTTGAAGATACAGACAACAGAAAAACCCAGATGCAATATAATGTGATCCTTTTTTTGACAACGTTTCAGCTTTTTCAAGTCACTAAATATGTCTTATCTATAAATAGGAAGTGCAGTAAAGTGAAGAATCAGGGTAGGAGTGTTGAATATAACCTTGGGTAGCTTAAAATCAGATTGGATATACGAGATCAAGACATTGAATTTAATTCTCATGTGGGATATGAGAATGCTGCATCAAATACAAATTTGAGCATGGAATACCTGTAACCAAGAAATGGATGCACCAAAGATCATTATTTTTTCACAAAAAATCCACTAGTGAAAGAAATCACTATTACTTATGAGAACTTTTTGTTTAGATGTACTGATTACAGGTGACAGACAGACAGAAATACTCACTATGGTGTGATGTGGGGGTGTAGCAGGTGTAGCAAGGTGTGGGGGAGAACCATAATATGGAGAACTCGGAGATACGGGTGGTGAAGGATATGGCCAGTAGAACATAGTTGGATATGCCACTCCTGGATACGTTGGCAGACGGGGAGTTACAGCACCAACAGCATTCAACACTGGAGGAGCAGGCCCCAGTGGAAATGCACCAAAGGGAGGTGCAATCACAGTGCCTCCTGTAGGGGGGTAGGGGATCAAGGAGGGTCCTGGAAAATATTGACACTCATCACCATGTCACTAAGTAACTGCATATCTGACACCATTGGTTTTAGTCATATGTAACATAAATGCCACATGCATGCTAAAGTGGATTTCATCAACATAAAATTTCAAATAACAGAGATTAAATATTGACAAAACCACTTGCATGACATGCATTAGTTACACTGGAAATGTCAAGACTAACAGTGTCAGACTGCAGGATAGTACTATGGTCATCACATGCACTCTCCTCTGTCTTACACACTTAAGTAAAACACAAAGCAGTAAATGTCACTTTCTCAGACTTTAATTTCACATTTAAGAGAGTTTATAGTCACCAAGGAAAATAAAAAATTTGCATGAGGTAAAAATGGAAAAAATACAAATATATACACTGTGCATATATATATATATATATATATATATATATAATATATATATATATATATATATATATATATATATATATATATATATATATATATATTATATATATATATATAATATATATATATATATATATATAATATATATATATATATATATATATATATAATATATATATATATAATATATATATAATATATATATATATATATATATATATATATATATATATATATATATATATATATATATATATATACATTTATATTTATATATAAATTTTATATATATAAATTATATAATACACACAAACATATACATACACATGTATCAGATATGAACTGAGAATGATTAAATAAATGAGTAATGATTGATATGGAAATCTTTCAGCTTGACTTGAAACTAAATTTAATTTTAGCCATTTTCAAACATACAATAAACATACTCATACGTATAATCAAAATGGGAAAGACAGACTGACACCATCTATTTAAAGGCTGGCAGTGATAACAAATATCTTTCTCATCATATTTACGTAAGTTGTTGGAGATTATTCCAAATTGTGCTTAATGATAAATGGTACACACTGCTTGCCTTTATAATACTGCAGTTTCAAACTACTACAACCATCACCGTAATACCACATGCAACCCGTACCGCCACCAAACCACATGAACCACCATTCAACCACATTTATAGACATGCACAAATACCCATAATTACATCTACCACAAGCACCATCACCAAAGCCACCACCATACACCATATCCCACCACCATTATCCCACCACCTGCACTACCCATCACCATTACTACACAGCTACATAACACCACTACAACACCAGAATGCAGCCTGCAACCACAAAAGATGTAAAGCTCTTGCCTACCTTGTTACCTTAATCTGCCAGGCCCACGAGCCTCTTATGAGAGAGTGGCTTTGTTTGACATAGAAGATGAGAGGTGACCCATATACCGGAACCAGAAAACCACTGGGAATATCTTAACAGACTTTATTGGTCTTAGCAGAGTAATATTGGCGTACACACCAAAGTCCAGGTAAGTCAAATTATCATCTGGAACATTTTCTGGGCTGACTTTTAGTCAGATATCACATCTTAAATGTACTTATTCTGGTACATACCAGATTCAAATGAAATAAAAAAAAAAGTCATATAAGCCTTGAAAATGTTCAATAACTGAACTAAATATGAAGCTATAACAATAGAGAAAAACTACTGAATGTACACACAAAATAACAATAGTGCAGATATCACACTTAGTGGAATGTATTACAGAAGTGTTAGAGGACCATATTGCCCCTCGCATCTGGCCCCTCAACAACCCAGCCAGAGGGCACATGACTGCAAGACTCCACATGCCCGAGATACCACATTACATCAAATTTTTATACTATTTTTTTTTTTTTTGCTTTCCAGTATTATGCATTTTAAAGTGATTTAGGATAACTGTAAGCATAGAAAAAATATTTCCAGGTTCAGGTCATTAACAAATAAATTCAATTGACTACTTGTGAAGTCTTGTCGTCAGCACCAAAAGTCCTACCAGAACCCACAGTAGGGCTCACTGCACATATTCCCACTGTGGTGGATTTATCTACCACCACACCACCACCACCACCACACTGCCAGCCAACCGTCCGCTTTGGTGTACACGGCTGCTGATGTCCTAATCTATATGCAGTCTAGTATATTAAATGTTTAACTTAAAACTAAAATAACTACCTCTACATTGGTGCTCTGTCTAGATGAGCAAGAAATAGACCAGCATAGATGAGGTGCCTACCTGGATGGAATATATGCAGCCGTGTACACAACAGCCAACTCAAAACCTTCACACTCTTATACTTACACATCCACATACTGAACGCTGGATAGATCTTAGATATGGACAACTACTTCGGAAATTTGAGTATGACTTCTAATTGAGCACGTCTCAAAATCACATCATCATCACTGAAAGTTCTTCAATTATACTAGAGCTAATTTTATTAAAAAAATTTATTTAAAACTTATGATACATAATTAGATGCCTTACTCAAGGTCAACACATTTGACCTATGGTCTAACATCCATCCAACAAAGGCTAAAAAAACAAGGATTGTCCACCTCCCACAGGAGATACACACAACAGTCGCACAGTGTTGGCCAGCAGTGGTAATATCTCCAACAAACCAGGTGCAGCACACCAGAATAACAGCAGATGATTGCACACACAAAGAGGCTGCTGCACCACACACACACCCATGCGTTCAATCACGCACACACAATCATCACAAGTTATGGGAATGGGCAGGATGCAGTGAACACCTTGGTAAGTGGCATGACAACTACTGATACTACAGATTGACAGTTGCCAAAACCTACCAATATATCACAAATACCACCTGCTTTGACCCATTACAGTGTGCTCTGTATCCCTCTTGTCAACCACTATGTACAAGTGTGTGTTATGCAGCAATGAAACTGAGTATTACATGGTAGGAAACATTGGGGGTGGAGGATATATGGTATGTAAGAGGGATGGGTTTACAAGAGGGGCCCGCTTTAAGGCCCCCATGCCAGCAGTACTTGTGTCCCCAGGGAATGCCTGTTCAAAGCTACGCTTTTGTGTGGCTGGTAGTCTAGCTCCTGCAATGGCAGTCGCTGCAGCATAAGGCATTGGGAGAAGGGGAGGTCCTACTGGGGGTTTCTGGACATTGTGTCCACCTTGATTATCTCTACCTTGAGCAGATGACACAGGCACAAAAGTCACCTGCGGGTGAAGCCCACCAGCAAGCGAGGTCCTTGGAGTGGTAAAGAAAAAAATAGGATTGGTTGCCGTGCCTATTTGTGATACAACTGGCATGTCTCCATAGTGTCCTAGCAAGGCTGGAGGCATTGCAGACATAGTAGGCTTCATCTGAGTGAGAAGGGTAGGGGGAGCTTGAGAGGTATGGGGCAATTCCATTGGAGGTGGGAGGGCAAGGGCTGGCCTGGGTGGTGGGGGACCCATGGGTGGGGGCAGTAGTAGTGGAGTATCTGGTTGTTTGAGGGGACTTGGAGGAATGCCTGAGAGTATGTGACCATGGGGAGGTGGGGGAAAGGGATGAGCTAGTCCAGGGAAGGGGGGCATTGGAGGACGAGGAGCACCAGGATGTGGTAACCCTGGAGGATGATGTAGCCCCCCTGGTAGGGTAGTGCCGGTACTGTCCCACAGAAACATACCCGGGGACACGACGGGTCGCTGGGCTGGGAGACCGCCAGTCAGCACCATATTCATATCTTCCCCTGAACATTGAAAAACTTCTATATAACGCTGCTTTTTTCCAAAGATCATGTAACGATGATGCCTCTGCTGGGCAGCAAGAAATGCAGAGTGTTCACTATCCATCTGAATGAATGCTTCCCCACTTGGCTGACCCTGTCAAAAATAACAACAGTAATTCATGCTTCATTTCAAAGCTAAACTTGCAAATTTTGATCAAAATTGTATATGTATAGATATTGGTTTCTTTAAAATATGAAAAAACAATTTCCTTTAAAATCAATTACTAATGGCAAGCTAGTACACTGTACAGCTCATGGTTAACTTACATGTGCATTGTATACCATATGGACTCCTTGATAAACAATGCTCTTCGCAAGTTCTCCTAAGAATTCAAGGATATGCTCCACTTGGGCCTCGAACGGTAGCCCTCTAAGGCGTATACAATCTTTCCGGGTTCCAGAAGTAATAATTTGTTGAGGTAAGAGTGGCACTTGAGGAAGTTGCGCAATAAGAGGCTGCTGTTGCTCGTAAGTCCGAGGATCCATGGAACGATTTAGCACCTGTAAAATAACACTGACATCAGTACCTTACCAAAGAAGTATTTACAACAATGGATGCTTACAAATTAGTACATAATACATGGAATATAATAAATGGATAAGTACAAAATATGTACAATAAAAATTTAATAAATAACAAACAAGTATATAACAGAAGTAGACCATGATTTCACAAACTGCTGCGACATACCCGACAGAAGTTAGAGAGAACAACAGCAAAAATAATTGACCAAACACCAAGAAACCAGCAGCTAGACACAATAAAGGGCAAATAATTATGGCTCACTTTTATCTTGAGCATCGATGTCCCTTGGCTCGCTCTCTCTCCTCACTTCACTAATATTGTTGAAAAGTCTGTGTTGTGCCAGCCTACCCTCTTAGTAACAGTTAAATTGTCTGTTATTAAAACAATCAAATGGGTGATTGTTCAACAAGCCTTATGCCATAAATATTATAAAGATTATTTCAGTACACATGACAGGTCTATTTGATATTCTTGCCAGAGAACTCTTTATCGTTATTTTACATTTCATTTATTAGTGTTGTGGTATATAATAATTGGTTAATCTGTATTGATAGAAGCAATCTAACCTAGGTGTAGCCAATCTTCTGCATTCCATGCACCATTTTCACATTCTAGTTCAGATGTGGCATACGACACTTATCCCCATTCATTTCTTTAAAAATATTAATATATTTAGCATTTTTACATAAAATTATTTAATATAAAGGCAAGATAAACATTAATAATAATAATAATTAATAATTACTTTAATGAGACTTTTGAGTCTGCTCTGATTTCTCCAAGCTTGTAATATTTGGAGTTAAATTAGTTACTGAGAGCAGCTGAGAATTCTTCAAATTTGAATCAGCCAACTGAGACCTCAGTTTGATATTAATCAATTTCATGGATGAAATGCAATGTACAGATGCTTGTTCGCATCTGTAAGTTGACAGATATAACTCTGGGCAAATTTTAAGTTCTGGAAAATGTTCACAGGGTTAATGATCACAAAAAAAAAGAAAAAATTGTCAGAGGCATTTGGGACTGAGAGAACCTCATCAAATTTCATTTTCAATAATGATTTTTTCAAATCAGTAAAGCTCCATTTATATATTCAGATTTTTTTTATCAAGTGAAAATGGATTTATAAATGCGAGTATGCAATCTTCTTTTTTAGTAAAATCACTAAAACTACCTTCAAATAGCTTGCAATACTCTTAATTTTTTTTTCAATATATGTACTCTGTAAAATTGCCATTATCTTCAGAATATTCACTTTGTTCTTTTAAATGTGGAAACCGGCTCAAATACTCATTTTCTGAGAGGTATTGACATCATTTACTAAGCTAGGAAACTACTGTTCTTGTAACAAACTAAAAATGCTAAATCAAATGTAGCTATTTGTTATCAAGTAAAAGGGCTCTTTCCTCAGGTAGCTAGCAGTAACAGCCTGGTTGATCAGGCCCTGGTCCACCATGAGGCCTGGTCACAGACCGGGCCGCGGGGGCGTTGACCCCCGGAACTCCAGATATACGCTAATTTTGAGTTTCCTAAATCTAGCGAGAACCTGTGTTGTAGAAAGCCAGCACTCCTCACAGTGAAGGATCACCATATACTAAATCTAAGAATTCATAATACTCTCTGAATTCTCTTCTGTTTAATCCTTTTGCTCTAATTCACACATTTCACAAACAGTAGCATAACATGCTGCAAATTTAAAGCTTTTCCACAGTGGCTCGGTGTATAATGCATATTTCAGTAGAGGACGACCTAAACAGACTTCAGCAAAATTGCAGTCCCAGATGTTTTAAGAACATAAGAAAGAAGGAACACTGCAACAGGCCTACTGACCCATGCGGAGCAGGTCCATGTCCTCCCCGGATTAGACCAATGACCCCCCCAGCCGGATTAGCCCAAAGACCCACCCAGTCTGGTCATCTTCACTCAAGGATGGAGCACTGCACCAGATCCAGCAGCACAAGCTAGTCAGGTCCAACTCACACCCACCCACACCTACTCATGTATTTATCTAGCCTATTTTTAAAACTACACAACGTTTTAGCCTGAATAACTGTACTCGGGAGTTTGTTCCACTCATCCACAACTCTATTACCAAACCAGTGCTTTCCTATATCCTTTCTGAATCTGAATTTTTCCAACTTGAAACCATTGCTGCGAGTCCTGTCTTGGTTGGAAATTTTCAGCACGCTATTTACATCCCCTTTATTTATTCCTGTTTTCCATTTATATACCTCGACCATATCCCCCCTAATTCTACGCCTTTCGAGAGAGTGCAGATTCAGGGCCCTATTATTGATGGTGCTGTCAGTACACACACTCATGAGTTCACTAGACTCTAGTTACAGATTTTCTAAGCATGAGCACTTTGTCAAGTATGTCTGATTCTCTTTGTTTTTCCATAAGTGACAACACCGATAAGTTCTTCGAAGATGTTAAAATTATCATCAATTCCTCTTATAAAAATGCTTAACTGGGCTACATTACACATGTCAGCAGATTCGTCCCAAGCTAAAGAAAATACATGCTTAGGCAAGGTCTTTCAGTTGCTCAGATACATCATGGGAAAGTTCTTCAGTGCATATTGTAACTGTTTGCTTTGACACAGCGATTTCGTCTACTTTTCTTTCAACATTTTTATCGCCAAGACATTTACAAATATCTGGAAACAAAGCTTAATTACGTCTCCATCAGAAAGAGGCTTCCGTTTTTTTTTTTAGCCAACGCAGAGGCAATTTCATTATGCCAAACTTTCACAACTTTAAAAAAATATATATTATCTTCTTTTTATTTCATTATTTTTCTTATTAACATACTCTCTCCGTAACTCAGACAAACGCACTAACTTCAGTGTTTCTATTGCAGCCTGATGTTTTTATAGCGTTTATTAAGATCATGTCTTGTATTGTGTGTGTTAACACAAACAATGTACGACGGTTTTCCCGACCCACAATAAGAATTATTTTCCCCCACTGTTCATTAAACTGACGCTTACCATTACTTTCTGCACCATGATGGGTAATTGATTGTAAAAACAAGGGTAAGTTTCAATTGTTAACAATGAGTGAGACACTACTGCACGACTGTTAACTGTAAACTGACTGGTAAACACGTGCAACACTAGTCACTGCTGGTGCCCGGCACCTCGAGATCAAACAAGTATCAAACTTGTACATTTATGGAATTACTCCTGTACAAAATTCCCTCTATGTGTAATGTCCCTGATAAGAAGAGAACACCATGTGTAGTGAATATACAGCAACTCAAACATGGTATGGGTGTTCGCTGTAATTTATTGCTAGTCTTACTCGTTGAATATTTTTTAAGTGAAAACAAACTAATGTGAAAGATGACGACATTCGCTAAAATACGTGCACAAAATGAAAATCACTAAAACTGATTGCTAACTTTTAGATTTATTCTCAGTAAAACTCATTTCTAGCTACAAATTGCTTTGAATGTTATTTTTTCGTTACTGGTTAATATTTTTTGTACGAGTAGGCTTGCTATTTTATCATCACTAAGGTGCAATCCACCACTTCTGGCACATGCATTATATAGGTTGGCCATCCCTGTTCTACATGAACTTTGGTTAAAATTCTCAAAAGCAATTCTTAGTTTAGCTAGGTCTGAATATGCCGTTTAAGTTATATTGTTAATATGAGCTTCTAGTGATATGCTTGGTGTGATACTTACCCCTAGATCTTTCTATTCTTGTGTTATTGGCAACATTACAATACTTTTTTTTAGCATCAACAGGATGTACAAGAGGCCAAAACTGTAGAACAAAAAAATGTGATGGTGTAAGGATACTATAAACATTATTTTTACTGGAAAGTGCCAGACATTTTGCAGTGGGATAGAAGAGTAAGTAGTATGTGCTACAACCGCTTAAAATTCACATATGATAATCTATCACAGTACGGGAGACACGGAGCATAGCTCTGCTGATGTAGCCACAAATATTTCATCTCATGTAGGTGCCGTCTATTGCCTCAGCAACAACTTAAGCAGCAAGAGTTTCGTTGAGCAGGACACATCACCAGCGTCACTGCTGTCTCAGCACCGGCTCCCTCACCATTTATAACCCCCCCCCCCTCTTTCCTTTTCCTCCGCCTTTCCTTCCTTCTCGTTCCTCCTTACCCCCCTTCTCTCTTCCTTCTGCATCTCCTCCTCCCTTGGTACTAGCAGTACGGCCATTCTCTCTGATATGTGCTAGTTTTTGTTTATAGACTGCAACTTATTAAATAGAAAAGGGCAGCAGCACACCGGGGCGGTGTATTAAATGAAAAAGATTGTAAAACAGCGGTGCAGTCTAAGGACATCGTCAACCAGGTGTTGTCTCAGACTAAACAGATAAACCAAAAGCCTCTTCCGTATCAGACACCCATTCTTAGAGGAAATAATAAAATCGCCCCTACTCACTGACAGTATGATTATGACTGTGTACACTCATCTAATTGTGGTTGCAGGGGTCGAGACTGTGTGTGTGTGTGTGTGTGTGTGTGTGTGTGTGTGTGTGTGTGTGTGTGTGTGTGTGTGTGTGTGTGTGTGTGTGTGTGTGTGTGTGTGTGTACTCGCCTAGTTGTGGTTACAGGGATTGAGTCACAGCTCCTGGCCCCGCCTCTTCACTGATCGCTACTAGGTCACTCTCCCTGCTCCATAAGCTTCATCATTCCTCTCCTTAATGCTATGTATGGATCCTGCCTCCACTACATCACTTCCCAAACTATTCTACTTCCTGACTACTCTGTGGCTGAAGAAATACTTCCTAACATCCTTGTGATTCATGTGTGTCTTCAACTTCCAACTGTGACCCATTGTTTTGTGTGTGTGTGTGTGTGTGTGTGTGTGTGTGTGTGTGTGTGTGTGTGTGTGTGTGTGTGTGTGTGTGTGTGTGTGTGTGTGTGTGTGTGTAATCTCTGAAAAATGCACACTTATAATATAAACAATTTGTAATCGATAAAAATCTCAAATC